CTCTGGACCAACTGCCAGATTGATATTCCAGACCATATTCATGCTCGCGATTTGGACGTCATTTTCGAAAGATTCGAACCCCACATCGAGAACCTCACGATATACGTTTGGGATTCCAATGGAGACATCGGGGATGGAAGATTGGACGACATGCAGATTGCATTCTTGCAGGACTTGAGTCCTCGGATAAAGAGGCTGACGGTCCATATCAGGACAGCTCTTCCTTGTGCTATCCCAAGGGAACTTTTCGAACTCACTATCTTTGATTTTGCTGTACTGGAGACCTTCCAGATGACCGGTTCTCCTCGAGGAAACGAATTTGGATTTTACAGGGCTATCCCCGCTTTCCTGAACCGCCATCCAGTCAAAGAGCTGGCTTTATACGATCAGGAGGGCGAAGAGGTGTTGGGGTCATTCGAAGACGATGGACCAGAGTTCGCTCGGAAATTAGAGGTGTTGCGGACTACCGCCGCAGGTGCTCTTGTTGCTGTCCCACACGTTCCTAATCTACAGAAGTTGGTCGTCGGCATGCATTCTGAGGATATCAGCGGGGATACAACGGGGACTTGGCTCATGTCACCCCTTGACAAGTTGCGAGTGCTTTGTCTGCCTGAAGAAGGCGATGAACGTCTGGCGAGAAATTTCGCAGATCCTGAGTGCCTCCCACAACTGGAAGAGCTGCACAACATGCGCTTCGGGGAACTGTTCTGGGTACGTTGTTCCTTTTTTGTTCAAGGAAGGGGATATTGATGGACGGTCATGATGACAGGTGGAATCTCAGCAAAGGATTACACAATATCTTCAAACCCGCTTCTCCTTCCCTTTACTCCGGATCCTGACCACTTCCCTCGTCGCCCGCTCCCTGAGCGCATATGACGCCCGCCTAGTCTTCACCGCGATTCGAGCCTCGTGCCCAAACCTCCAATACCTCGAACTCACATCCACTGGGGATAGGTTCTGCTGGGCAGAAGCAACTTTGAGGATTGATGGTGACCTGCATATCGTTCTCCATAAAACCCGAACACCGCCACTTTCGTCACCGATGGACCTCGAATGGGTGGCAAACGAGGCGTTCAAAGAAGATGATGACGATGATATGGACATGATCTGAGGATCTGAGGGCGTAGTTGCCTGTCAGAATCTATTCACGTTCCTACCCGCAGGACTCACGATCACTCGCAGAGTCTCTGGCAATTTGTTGCCTTGTCCTTGACCTCCGGTCCCACTTGAGCAACCTTTTCGGCGGCTTATCTCACTCTGGGATTGATGGTGGTCGTTGCTGCTCGCAGAGACTGCGACAAGAACACTCAATAGGTCTGAAGAGGGTCTGGAGGAGTGGCGATAAGAAGGAGAAGGCCATGCGGTTGACTCACGACGCGATACCTGGACAATCGACGTCTCGGAAACAGCGTGCAGGTCCCTGATCGAGATCGGAATCAAAAGTCTTATGTCAGCGACGTCATTTGGCCTTCGCTTGGCCCTGAGCGTGAGATAAGGATGCCTCGAGTTATAGCTCTTATCAGTCTCTATATGGCTATCTTCTTCAAATGAGTAACATGATTCGTGAAGCTCTTATCAGGGATTCGATTTCCCACCGCCCCGAGGTTGTCCTTGACGAGCCCCACCACCACTAATATTCTACCGCTCACTTAAGTTAGCTAACCTCATCGACTCCTGCCGTTGAAACTTGGTCTTTTCTTCCAGAAAATGCACGAGAAGAACATCAATGACATTGATACCGAGAACAGACACGATGATGAAGTATTGAGAAGTCTGGGGATCAAACGAGAATTGAGGAAAGAGTTCACCAAGTTTTCTACTCTGAGTTTCGCCATGGGCATCCTTGGGTGGGCGCATCGCTTTGCTTTGACAACGATTGGCCAACATAGTGTGTTAGATGTTCAGCGAGCATAGCATCGACGTTCAATACCCCCATTTTGCTTGGTGGTCCGGGAAGTGCGGTTTATGCATGGTTGCTTGGGTCCGTTGGATGTATGGCCATTGCTGCTTCTGTTGCCGGCGAGTTTCTCCTACATCGTATTGAGATAAATCCTCTTGACGCGAAACGTCCTCCAGAGCTCGTATCAGCTTATCCAACGGTGAGTGCGAATATCTGACTCCCTATTCGGTCCCGATCAACAGGGTCCTAGGCGGGCGGCATCTATACGTCCACTGGTTTCGTCGTTCCGCCCGAGTACAGGAGCAGTGTAACGTTCGTAACAGCATGGTAAAGACTGCATTCCGTATCCTCTATTGCCCCAAGCTGAGTGACAAATTGAAGGATGACCGTTGTCGGACAATTAGCCACTCCCTCCTCGGTTAACTTCGCGCTTGCTCAAATGATATTTGCTGCCGTGACCATTGCCACGGATGGGACGTTCGTGGCATCGACCGGACAAATTCTTGGTCTTTACGTGGGACTGAATGTGGGTATCGGAATTGTGAACTCGTTGCCTACGAAGGCTTTACATCGAATTGCAACTTCTTACGGTAGGCGTCTTTTCCCCCCTATAACAGGAAGGTTATTGATGCGCCGGCCTAGTCGTGATTAATGTGCTTACTACTCTGGCTGTCATCATTGCCGTTCCTGCTGGAGGGGCTGGTAATCTTGCGAGCCATAAATTCGTGTGGGGATCGGTAAGGAACCAAGTCCCTCATCGGGTCGCCTGCTTTGCTGAAGGCACGCGTAAGATCATAGATAATTCTGGTTGGAATAGTCGAGGTTTTGCCTTTCTTCTCGGTTTGTTGAGCGTTCAATGGGTCATGGTGCGCGTCCTGTCCTCTGTCGGAATAACTTAAGCCAATGAGGTTACCTAGACCGATTACGATGGAGCTGCTCGTAGGTCATCTTCAGGTGGAGAATAGCTTTGAGCTAAGACGATGATCAGATCTTTCCGAAGAAGTCAAGAATGCAGCGATCACTACACCTGTTTCAATCGTCTCCGCCGTTTTCTTAACTGCTATCCTGGGATTCTTCGTCAATGTCTCCCTCTGTTATGGAATCAGGGATTTGAGTACCATGCCCGGTCCTACGGGACTCGCTTTCGCTCAAGTAAGACTTCACCGTCATGTCCCTGAGATTGAACTCGAAAGTAGTATGAGTAGATTCTGTGGGATAACCTCGGGAAGCGGGGTGCTCTCGCGTTATGGTCGTTTGTGATCATTCTGCAAACTATGACGGGTGCGACGTGTCAGTTGGCATGTATACGAAGTGCGTAGTTGCATCTTACCTTTGAAATGACATGGTTCATGTTTTCGCAGGCATCTATGCTATCTCTCGAGACGTATGATTTTCCGGATCTTCTGCTGGTAGTATTGATGTCCTTGACGCCTGGTAACAGAATGCGCTTCCCGACAAGAAGATACTGTCTCGCGTATGGTCAAAAACGCAGACACCGGTGAACGCTGTCATATTTACCGTGATAATTTCTGCATTGTTCGGATTACTGTTCCTTGCGTCCATTGTCGCGGTAGGTCCACTCCCAGGCTTCTTGCTATATGGTACTGAGCGAACACCTAGATCAATGCGGTGTTCAGGTATATACTGGCTCTGACTCTGTCGAGTGGTCCTGACCTTTCTAAAGCATCACTGCTGTGGCTCTTGATATTTCATACATCGTATGTCATCGCGATAAATTCCACGCTCCTGCACTGAAGACAGTCAGATTCCTGTAGTGTTTAAGTTGTTCATACATTACACGAATCGTCAAGACGTCAAGTTCAAGCCAGGACCTTTCAACATGGGCCGTTGGGGATACTTTGTCAATATCTATGCACTCGCCTGGTAAGCTAGTTTCTCGACTCGCATAGGAAGAAACCACTCACCGCGTACAGGACGCTACTTGAAACAGGGTTTGTCACTCGACATTGCAGACTATCTTTGCTCAAAATTGATCCCGGATTTTCAGCGTCCTAATCATGCCACAAGTACGTCCCGTCACAGCAGACACGATGAACTACGCAGGACCGATCATGGGAGGTGTTTGCGGTGTGTCGTGGTTGTGGTACAAGTTGTATTGGGTAAACTCGTCTTTCAGCCAAGATTTGACAGACGTTGACGAGTGTGATAGCATCGGTTCTACACGGGTCCCGGTACGAAGTTGCTCAATACCGACGGTGGTGCGGACAGCTCGAGTGACGTCGACTCTAACGTGGAAGTCGTATCGACCGCTGAAGAGGAGAAGGGCCGATTCGGAGAGAAAGATTCGAAGAATTAAATCTGCCAGCCTTACCCTGAACTTGTTAGAATGAATTGTGATTCGGTACCTTGGCTTTTCCGTTCTCAAACTCTGGGGTTACCAGGATATTGAGTGAGAAATGGCGACGACCGAGACACGGAGGCAGTTCAGACGAATCTGATCTATTGCTCTCGATTCTATCGGCGGAGGGCGTCTCGATGCTAGAGATTCTGATGTATACATGAGATACTGGTCCTCTTGTTCGGGACTTGCGGCGTTTCGCGTCGTCTTTGAGAAGCAGGTCAGTTGCGAAAGAAGCGGTGGGCGACTTGTGCCTAAGAGTTTTTTCGCCTTTAGTTGTTACCGGTAAACAGTGTAGCTAAAATGCATATAAAGTGATTCAATCCAGAAAGCAGAAACGCTTCAGTACTCTGTACAAGTCCCTCTTCAAATGGAGGTTCAGCTCACCGGAAACGCCTAAGTTCCGTGGAAGAATTTACTGGATATCCAAGGACGCGGCCTGGAGTAGAGCTACTCCCGCCACTGAACAGAATACAGTAATGGAATGTGTGTGTCAACCAGGGACTGACTTCGAGACTTCCTAGGAACCATCATCACAGAATCAGGGAATGAGAAGACTTATATTCCTACACGCTGCCGATGGATGCCACCGACTCGGTTCTCGCTCGTTTGTTTTGGGTTGAGCTCAGAGTTGGAAGAGAGTCGACAAGCTCCTCCGAGTCGGACGACGCGCCTTCGGATGGTTCCGAAATCCGACCGTCAAAGCCTTTTGGTGCATCTTCTGGGCCGCATTTACAGAACGGGCGCGTGGCGCAGTTGGTAGCGCGCATGCTTAGCAGTAACTCGACCGTGGGAACGTGATTACGTAATGCATGAGGGCCCCGGATCGAGCCCGGGCGTGTCCATTTTTTAGTGATCCAGCGATTCAATTACCATGATACATTATTTTTGATTCGAAGCTTGCGGACGAGCGACGAAGAATAACTGTATCACACATATATACACACCTCTTGTCGTACAAATCCTATTTGTACTCAATTATGTAGACTACAATCATAACAAATGGCAATTTGGAGGCAAAGCAGCTGAACGAATTTTCATATCAAACAGAGGGGGAATACATAAGGTCTCAAAACCTGACAATCTGACGAAAGGACGAGGGGAAACGTTAGGCACAGCGTATATGAGCATGTGCAGACACAGAGCGAAACACGTATCCGGTTGAATTACCATTGGGGAACGGGAAATGAAGGAAGTTGCGTTTTTTTTTTTTCTAATAGCGTCTGATGGCGGTATGCTCGGCGAGCACTGTGACAAAAAGGTCAAACCATTATCAAGAGCGAGGATGTGAGGCTCACTCACAAGCATTTAACTCTTCGCTCAACTCCTCATACAAAGCTCCGCGTATCAAGAGGAGTGAGCCCACTTGCTCTCCGTGATTATTGATTGTGAAGCGATTGATATTCCGCACATGGGTCCCGAACAAACGACGGAGAGCAGTCCGTTTCCGTCTACCTGAGAGCCCTGTCTAGGGAGTATTAGTAGGAAACGAGGAGACGGGATAAGAGAGCGAAAAAACCTGGCATATAACTTGTGCCTGCTCTCGAACAAAATCTACCGAAAATTCCACCACCGGGTGACAGTGCCACGCATTTTCTGCCTGTATCCACGCTCCTTGTCCTATTTGGCGTTGAATGTCAACGAACGCGATGAAACGATCACGGAGTAAGGTTTGGTGCGCGCTGAGAGCTGGTAGGGGGGCCAGCGCGATTGCGTTGTGCATATCTTCAAAACCGATCTCACCACCTTCAAATGCGATATGATTCATAATGTCAAACGTGTAATTCATGAAGGCTGGCTGAAATACGACACCGTCTAGTTCAACGAGCAGGATCGGCAAAGGCAGCGCTTCAGCAGTAAGGCTCTCGACCTCTTCAAAAAGAGACGGCCCATCTGGTGTTCCGACCATGGAGTGTTGGATGGTCGTCTTGATGAGACACGCGTCGCGGCGCTTCCGCCCAGGCGCGACACTGACGCGACCCACAAAACACGCGCAGGGACTCAGTGTGTACAATATCTGCGCTACAGCTACACATAACGGATCTAATACTGCCCACGACTTGAAGAAAGATGAGGAGACTGGACTACACTGAGACAAGGAAAGACAGCAAATTAGTGGCATTATTACTGTAAAGGATGCGGACTGAAGACAGATTTCGACGTAACCATGACGTGACGGGAACACTACTCATTGATTTATTTGACGGTGGCATTATAATGTACATCTTGGCATCGATCATGAGTGTACTGATGGTAACCAGGTCCGACGTTCACAAGAAGAGAGAAACATGAAAGGCTATGAGAGAAAACAGCTATCCGGCGTATCAAGAGTGTCTATTGCAGATTCTCGGCTAGTTCCTCTGCAATTTTGACACCTTTGATGAGTCGGGCTAACTCATGGGGAGCATCAATATATTTCTGAAATCAGGTACTCCAGTCAGAGAGCGTTGGGCGAGGGAGCCATCGGCACATACCTGTTCGGCCCATTCGAGAATTTGTTCCTTGAATGCCAGAGCACGGTCGACTAGCGCCCTCTGCTTAGATTTCTTGTTTGCAGTGTGCTTCTTCTTGGCTTGTGTTGATGGTCTCTTTGTCTCTGTTACCTCTTTCATAGAAGCCGCGTATTCTTCATACAACAGCCGGTTCTCAGCCGCATTCTTGCACTCCTTAGTTGCATGATTGGTAGCGTCCATCATATTAGTAAAAGACCTAGGGACAAGTCAGGCGACAAACGAGAATTTCTAAAGCAATAACGTACACTGGGCGCCCATCCTGTTGACATCCTACGGGACAAATATAGTTGTAACGATTCTTCTTCTTTGTTGGAACCGTCATTTGGTCTTCATACGCGCGCCAAGGGTGATGCATACGGCTAAGAAAACATAAGGCAACACTGACGTCTGAGAAGGAAGCCACTCACCGCATGTGTTCTTTTAGCCCACTATAGCTTGGTTTGGTCGCATTGCATTTGTCACAGGTATAAACTGCCCTCCCCTGGTCATTCTAGGCCAGAAAGTCAATGAAGAGACGCAGGTAACGATATTCGCTCATACATGGGATAGGAATTTCGTTGAATTGGTCCACTCCAGATGAGGAGCAGCCAGCGCTTGTATATAATATATTTTGAACAGGACGGGGTCGATGTCGTAAATGTCGTCTTCGGCGGCGTCCAGGGCAGCGTTGGTCTCTGGATCAAGACCATCGTGGATATCCGCGGCGAAGATTCCGGTATCGTCCTCTTCAATTTCCTGGCACAACTGGCGGTGGGGGTCCACCTTGCTGAGGAACAGGTTGCCCAAACTATTGTACTCTTGAAGTGCTTCTTGCTCCTCGGTAAGATCTTCAGCGGAATCGGGTTCTTCTATACAAAGGTAATGTCACCATGTATTGACGTAGGCAGAGACGAGGTCATACCATTAGCAACTTTGCGTTTCGCAACGTCGCGAACAATCCCGGCAACATATGTGGAAGGGGCCGACATTTCGGCGATAGCGTCATCACGAGCATCCATTGTGTGCAGTCGATCAGGCTTGATTTCGGCTTGTTGGTTGGCGACTTTCGTTTCTAACACACGTGTGGCTTGGCGTGTGAGATGCCTGCGAGTTTCCCTGGCAGTCTTCTCGGCGATATTGACTTCATCCTTTAACTAAACAGGATCAGGCTGTAAGCTGGCGGCTAGGCAAATGGTACTTACTTGGTTCATTGCTTCAACGGACCATTGTGGCACGTACTTCTGTGGATTGTTATAGATGATATTGAGTCGGCGAGTGTTGAACTCCTTCATGTCGGGTTTAGGCTTGACCATCATCTTGATGCTCTCCCAAGCGACGTCCCGCCGATACAAAGCATCTTGCAGAGCCGGAGTTTTCTCGATTTCCTCTCGACGGGCAGGGCCGAGTTGCACTTTTCCGTTCACGGCCAAGCAATGATCTTCTTCGTGCTCGCCCTGGTCACATGCATCTTCAGGAGCTTCGTTGCGAGTGTTGGTCGGTTCTTGCAACCGCTTTTGGATCTCGTTGCGGCGAATGATCAGCTGGACGGCGGCGCGAGCTTTGTTCTCTTCTGCCATGATTTCCTAACGAACTTGTTAAATCTTCACAACGTGTTTGAGGCAGGGGCTCAACGTACCGCTGCCCGAGGATTCAATGGTGCCACTTCTCCAGTCCGCACCCCGACCGTATTATAATTCTCTGCTCCCTTTGAATAAAAGGTATCAAAAGTTCGGCTTTGGTTCATATGTGCAAGGAGAAACGCGCCGCTCTCTCGGGAGTCCAAGATCCCCATCTGAGTGTTATACGAATGAGTCTAACTGACCACAGAAGCCGCACAAGGAAACGTTACCTCGTTACCAAATCCGCGTCTGAATGCGGCGACACCAGCACGGGGCAGACCACAGTCCATAGCGCGCCGCGCAATGCTGGCAGACATTTGGGATGCGGACTGCGGACGCATTGGGAGAAGTATCTCCCGACCTCCAGAGCTGAACCGCGGCAATCTGGGCAAAGTTAGCACGATTAGATCTTCTAGATACAGAGCGTGAAGCTTACAGTGGTTCTTCAAGGCACTCGGGCCTTATGAGTATCTCCGTACTCTCGTCTGTCCAGAGTTCTTCGAGGGTCTGTATCTGCCGCGTGAGACGATGCTCGGTTTCACTTACTTGGATGACTTGCCTTATAATACAAAACACCTCGCCCCAAGAGATACTTCAATACGTATATGTTGGCATCAAATTGAACGTTGTGCGCCTTTTCAGGACTGATGAGAGCGAAAACTACTTGTTTCCCGTTACAATCGTTATACGCCTAGATTGAATGTAAGAACTGTGCATGCGCATATAGTATCACAGAGTCATACCTTGAAATTGCGGATATCGAGAGCGCTTCTGAAGCACATACGTTTGAGGCGTGTTATCTTCAAGTGCTTGAGCTTGAAGAACTGCTCATATCATGAGCAAGCTAACAACCTGATACATCGTCGAACTGACCTTTTGCTCCTTCTCATAGTCCGGGTGGCTGGGGTTCAGCGAACCGGGACGCATGCCAGTGTACATGCAGATTGCGATACTGGCATCGACGGCGCTCACATGCAATGCCGTCGCTGGGGATCGAACCGCCTGTTGATGCCCATATTCGAACATGAGGGCTGCTTCCTGACGTCCAAACCACTGCACCGGGTTCCTACAGCGATCCAGATTGCGGGTTTTGATTACTGCAGATAAATTAGCGTCGAATGGTACGGCAACACTGCAAGGTTGACTGGACGTACAAGAATGGACCTCCTTGTTCATCTTCGTATAGAGGCCTTTGGCCGTGAGAAGATGGGCTCCCACTTTATTACCATTGTCGTCGGTGGTAAAAAGGATTATGTTTCTTAACATCGTGATAAACCACCCTCTGAGAGTGATAGCCTTGACGTGTCTTTCTTCGGCAGATTTAGCTCCCCGGCCGGGAGTAGAGTCGGCCTGCAATGTCATCGTCAGATGATGACCGTCTCAGATGCGACGAGCTTACCTTGTAACGGAGGAAATGAATTGCAAGCCTATTGACCGTGTCTTGATGCCACGCAACTACAGACGCCTCCTCGTCGCTCAACCCCAACCGATAGCCCACGAAAGCAACCCATGCTTGCAAGAGTTGCATTCGCTTCTTTTTGGTGACTGAGTTCTCGGTGTCTTTATATTCGGCGCATTCGTCGTCGAGTTTCTGGCAGTATTCTGCAGTTGTCATGCCGGAGGCGGCGGCGGCGGCGTTGAGGGTGGATCTCAACTTGCTGCCCTGGGCGCGCACTTTTTCTGGATCGATTTCACTTTCGACACCAGGACGTTCTTTCTGAAGGCTAGGCAGAC